CCTCTGTCGATGGAATGTTTTGCGATGGTAATATTTCGCATCCATTGATTACACGCCTCACCATCCTCATTTCCCTTTCTTTCTTTCCCCTACGAGATTTTGAAGGACTGGCGCTGGCGTTCAGTGCACTCGAAGTTGACTGACCTTCTTCAGCCCTCCTCAGCGTCGCCATGAGTTCTATATGCAAAGATTTGAAGACCTCAAATTCTGAAATTCAGATCAATTCAAATTCACCATCCCTGCTTCCTATTCTATTTTTCCCTTTCATTCGTGGTGAGGGGGTGTCAGTTTGCGGCACTTGGGCTGAGACTGGTCCTCCTTCGTGAGTGGCCATCAACTCTACAAAGGATATATATATATATGGAGTAGTGATCTCCTCCGTAGTAAATGACCCACCATCACTGTCCCTTCTCCCTCTTTTAGGTGCAGAAGACTGCAACGGGGGAGTGTCGTTTTGACTAGCCACAGAACTCGACTCCAGTTCCAGACTCATCCTATAATTGCCTTCCTCGTCGACATTCGATAGGGTGGGGCTATAATAGAAACGTCATATGATTCCACCCGGAAGACTTCAGGTTTTGAAACGCACCCGTCGTGCTGATTCCTTTCAAGAAATCGCATGGCCTGCAAGTACGTCCATTGCGGCCCCGAAGCAGATCCCGTAGTTGGATTGTTTTTCCTTCGATACGTGTCTTTCAAGTTTTTCCACATATTCTTGAGCTCCGCCACTGAATTTTTGACAGTAATCCACGAATGGCACTAATGTTCAAGATCCCAGACGGGAACTATGGCATACCGTTAGTTCTGTGGCCTAGACATTCCAAATCCTGCATAATGCGCTCCCATGCGCTTTCAACTCGATCTCTTCTGCCGTAATCAGGCGCGCCCTTATACCAAATGCACTCTTCCATTTCCATCAGGTCGATTAGTCGAGCACGCAACGAAACATGAGCGGGCATCCTTTGAGCACACCACGTAATGTTCTACAACTGCGTTGTGTTACGCGAATGCGTTGTGTTACCAAGCATATATGTAGTGTTGCGTGTAATGTTCATATAATTGTGTTGACTGTTATCTCCTGATTGAATGTAATGAAAGAAAGGTGAAGGTAAAAGAATGGTGAGGTAAACAAAGGTAAGTAAACAAGAGTTAAGAACCCCACAAACAAATCAGGCACAATATTACTGGTTCCAAACACTTTGTTGCAACGTGATTAGGCGACAAACACTATTACTTTTTATCTCTGTGCAAGACAAGCAAACAAACGGTGCAAACAGAAACTAATCACCATATACATCCCACTACCACCCCCTTCCACACTTTGAATGGGTGCATTACAACCACAACAAAATCACTACATGCAGAGAACATTTCGCACTATTAAGCGTTGGCCCTGCTCTACTTCTACAACAAGTATGAAAGCTCTACGAAACATGGTCACTACTTCTTCTCTTCTTCTTCGCGTTCAGCTTTCAACGGCACGCAGACACCACCTGCTTTTAGCATACCCTAGACAATAGATTCCATGTTCGGTCTCATTGAAACCTAGGCGCGTTGGAATAACTGCCTGTTGTTCATCTGTCATAGAGGTTGCTACGATGGAACTTGTTTATTCGGTCGACTTTCGACGCCGTCTTCTTTAGGACTTCCGCGGCCTCAACACCGCCAGGAGTCCACTCACTTTCGCGCAGTCGCGCAGTGGACAGTCGCGCATGAAATCCCTTCTTTCGGCCGGATAAATAAGTTCCACCGCAAAACCTCCATGGCAGAAGTACAGCATGCAATATTCCCAACACCCCTCTAGCTCTATTTTTCCTTACAACAGGTGTTCATGATAAATAAATAACGAAATAAATGAATTAATGAATCGACATTAATCATTAATGAATTGACAAACATCGCAATTCGAAAACGCAGCTCACCGTACAATCCTTACTGAATTTGAGGGTCCCCACATCAGCTGACAACCTAGTACGAACGAGATCCGACGCATACACGAAACATAACATTGTTGAACTTGCCATACCACCAGGAGCTAAGACGCGCAAAGTGTACTTCCAGAAATTCTTAATGTCCAAATAACCGAATAAACGTACCGATTTCCCATGTTCTTCGAAAGCCTGGTACCCGTATGCCACTTGTTGCTCCAGCTGTTACACTTGTTGTTGAAGATACTGAACAGCGGTTTCCGTAGGATTAGGGAGCTGAAAAGTTGACTTAATGGCATATTCAAACCGAACCTATGGGACCTAACTGAAAAAAGATCAAACATACGGATCTGCGTAGTCAAGTAGTGAAGATTGTCGTCGTTTTCAAGGAAAATCGCTACAGCGGATGGGCACTTTTTCAACCATGTTGATAAAAGCATCAACACACCGGCACGCATTCGAACCCTGCGGTTACCCATACTTACCTGAAACACGGAACGTGGCGATTACAAACAGAAGGGTTGGACCATTTCACTAAAACCACTAACCAAAAGACTTGAAACGTGTTTAATTAACAATACTGGAGGTTGGTCAATGGTTGTAGACACCTGCACTCGTAGAAGCTGCTCTCTGAAATAACAGTGATAAAAGGACTAGTCGCAAAGGCTACCCGTGAAACAGTAGAAATACGATAAATACATAGAACATTTCTACGAGAAAAGATTGAGGCAGCTTTTTCAACCACAACTTTGTTGTTTCTGGAGCAAAAATTTAAGCGGCCCAAGAACAGCTGCGGACGGAAATCCACACTTGTATCGAGGATTCTAATAAGATTCACATATTTCACTGCAGAGGTCTAAATGACGAACTGAATAAAAAATAAAAATAGAAACCTTAGGTGTTCAACGTCTAGTAAACAGTAAAGAAGTGATACGCAACCGAACCATCACTGCACTGACTCACTCGAACTGATGGCCTGAAACTAAGATGAAACATCTTGCAACCTTAAAAACGAACGTCAAAGAAGAAATCAAATGCTCAGATCTGGGAGAAACACGTTCTACATAAGCATCACAGCTATAATCGAGCTGCATTGAAGATATGATAGCCTAGCGCAGCTCCGCAGTCAACGTATCGATCGAGGGGGGCGCGCCAGCCACAACGGGAGTGATCGCGCCCATCGCGCGATTGGAGCGATTGGTCATGATGGGAGTCATGTCAATCGCGCGATGGTCGCGCGATTCACATTTGACCGAATCGCTCCAATCGCAGAGTCTGACATCGGCCATTAGGATACTTCCGCCATGCAGCCGTTTCACGGTCTCCAATCATGGCTAAATATCGAAAGCAGCCACGTTTGAAAAAAGCAAAAGATAAAAAATAAGTGGAAGGAACAACTCACTCAAAACATGTTCTGATGTCCAAATCTTTTCTAGTTCGCTGAAAAAATCAATTGTCAGCAGAAAAGACTGCGTGGGATGCACTTGAATGCGAGGAAAGTGGTCCTGTAATAATTGACGTGATGAAATGATCCACCATAAGGAGTTGTGAAATACAACTACGAAAAAATCAATTGTCAGCAGAAACGACTGCGTGGGATGCACTTGAATGCGAGGAAAGTGGTCCTGTAATAATTGACGTGATGAAATGACCCACCAAAAGAAGTTGTGAAATACAACTATCATGGATTTTCCCACTCGATCAAAGAACCAATCAAGTTTCGAGCTAGTTACTTCAAGATACCTTTGAAGGTTATTACAATGACAGGGAGGACCACTATCCTGATTAAGAATTTGAAAAAAAACCGAGCAGAACAACATGAACGATGGGTGAGGATGATTAATCTCCCCCTGCCAACCGATATCGATCGTGTGCTGAGTCATCGCCCGTTGCTGCCACTCTTGTGCCGGGCAACTCCGTCGCTGGTGTACAGCGACGCAATTGCCGAGTCTGACCGACATTCGAACCCGAGTTTCGCAAAGAATCTTCGACACTTATAATGATACTTCCACCTACAGCGCTCCAGGTAATTGTAGGTGAAAGTATTATTAATGCACTGGGTTCTCTGTATCTCCTTTAGCACTGCATTACCTAGCATCTGCATTTAAGTTTGAAAAGACAACCGGGTTAGCGTACTGTTTTTAAGATCTTTTTGGATATTAGCGGAATGTTTCTTTTCTCCTTAGTGAACTAGTCCGCTCCTATCTGAACATCTTGGGAGACGTTTCTTCTGCGTTCAGCCCACTTGGGAAGAAGTTTTCCTTGTACATTAGAGTGTGTAGTTTTTCTTAAGGTGTAGAGTTTTTTTAAATTGATAATTTTCTTTTTTTTTTTTTTAATGACAAAAAAGTTTTCCTAATAGACGGTCAGCAGCATTTTGAATTTCTTGTGAGTTTGCCGTTTTCCTAGGCATTGATGCAAATGAATTCTCAATTGCGTGTCTCCTTTTTGTGTTCGATTGAAAAGTCTTAGTAATATACACTCTTCTGGAAGAGATCTCGTATGTATGCTTTGCGTAAATTTTTTGTACTCACGCTGGTTTTGTGTTATAGTCGGACATCAGTGTATGAAATGTAGGGAGAGCAGGAACTGCAAGACATGCTTTCTTTTAAGGAGTAACAGGGAGACGCAGTGTGCCTCTGGAGGGCCAGCATGTAGAAACGCCAGTAGGACTAAGCCTTTCAGAGAGGGAGTAGGAATAGCTTACGGACCTCGGGGTCCTTCTTCACCTTTGAGGCTTAGTCCTAAAACTGAGCGTCTCCGTGAATCTGACGCACTGTAAAGGGCTGGTCCCTCCGGAGCCACACTGCTTAATGCTTTACATAATTTGCAGCACAAGTAGAGAGATTTTGCTTTTCCCCTGACATCCATTTGACTTAATATTTTTTTTTTGTTTTGTTTTTTCTTTAGTAACCTCCACGCTTCAGTCAGTGCTGTAATTATGCAGTAACTTTTAGGCTGGTGCGCTTGTAAAATCACTCCTGTCTCACTCGGTCAAAAATGATGAAACATGAGAAAATGGCGCCGAAATGTCGCCTTTTTAATATTCGCTCATCTAGAAAAGTCGGATGTTGTTCAGTTTTTTACGCGTGTTCAACTGTTACCTCTTTTACATCTCGTAGACCGTTGTGGCGGTGTTTGTCCTTTGTGCCTCCAACCGTTTCGTTGGGTTTGGGATTCGGTCAAGGAGATATCGTTGTTGGAGAGGTTACTATTCCATTGCTTCATGTATTTTTTTGGTATTATCTCAGAAAGAGAAATGAGAGGAAGAATCTCTTGTTTATGCTGTCACCGATGTTCTACTTTAAGTCAACTGATGTTTTTGAACAAAAGGGTGAGGTATGAGCAGCATGCGAGTTGCACTTCCTTGCCTCTGTAAGTGCTGCCGATGTAAAACCGAAGTGTTGTTATAACGTTATGTACCTCCTGTCGCTCGCATTCTTTTGATTAATTCGAATCCACTGATTTTTTCCCCTGCTTCTCCTTATGTGAGTGTGTGCGTATGTGCGTGTAGAAACAAAAGCCATTGAAACAGGGGAACACCTTCGCCTCTAGTCGCATGATTGTGTAGATGAAGCGACTGAGGCAAAAAAATGCTCGCCTCCCTCCTTTTGAAAACGACTTATTCAGTGGGTAAAGAGTAAAAACTCGTATTCGTTCTTTTCTCATTTGTGACCCCCTTGAAGAGGGTCTGATGGTCCGGCAAAGAGAGGGGCTGTTTACCTTACCTTCTCTGTTACGAATATGGCCATTCTCCGACACTCTATTCACTCTTCGTGATGGTTCTCGACGCAAGATTGATTTGAACCGAGCCATTTCACGCACGATTTGGCGACGCCGGAGAACGGCCTTCTTCTTGAGGCGCTTGGTCTCCTTTTCTCCCTAAATGATTAATGTTACGAAAAAAAACTCATGAATCTGTGAGCAACTAACCCCTTTTAACATCAAAGAGAGTCTCTCTTGCGGTGGTGACACACCCCTGCAATGCATGGATGAGATCTCCCATCCGGGGGTATTTAACACCCAGCAGCGTGCCTAAGCTCCTGTATAAAAAATTTTCTCATTTCAAAAGGCAAGAAACTAGGCCGCTCTTCTAAATTGAATTATCTTACCTATGAAAAGCTTCTGCAGCGTTCGAGGTGCGCAGTTCTGCTACATCCCACTTGCACCACATGTCCTTGAAAAGGCCGTTGTACCACGTTGTCGTAAGGTACTCAAGGAACATGTGGCATTTCCAATAGGCACTGTGCTGCTGGGGTACAGGGGGCGGAGTAGCGCTAGGACCCTCCAATGCAAGTGTGGTGGGAGGAACAGGATCCCTTTGATGGTACTCCACCACTTCTCCATTCTTGGAGACTTTCGAGGGCCGCGTATGTACTAGCGTAGCCGTTCCCTTTTCTGTTCCATGAGAGCGCCAGATGGAAAGCGCAGCCTTCTACGAACGCGCTCGGGAAGATCTTCTTTGCCGCCATGATGGCGGCTATCTCGTAGTCCAGCACTATACGCACGGGTTGCGGCCCAGCCACTGCCATTATTGCATCTTTTAGCGCCTTAAATATGCGCTCGTCGACCGCCTGTGTTTTCCTAAAATAAGGGAAGGTATAGGATGTCGAAACTATGCTGCTGGGATCACATCTGGACACCTCACCTTACCTGACAGTTATGGCGTACAGCAGCGGGTCCACGGATGTAGCCACCACACCGTGGACTGTATAGAGCTTACCAGTTTTACAGATGGCCTTTGGCTGTAAGTCGTGCACCCCATCGGCCACCAACGCCCAAAGCCCCAGCTGACACGCCTTCTGAAATGAAACCGTTAACCAGTAAAACACGGAATAAATTGTCCGCTCAATCACAAAAGGTCACCTCCACTGTTCGAGCGGAATAATAAATGTGCAAATTCGGCTCGAATACTGGAGAAAGGGCGTTCCGTCTTGGAGGAAAGCGAGCTGTGGTGGAACGTGCTTCATAGTGGCGCAGGGTCCTCGCTGCTTTGCCACATCCCTGAAACACTGTGATTGAATCTTAAATTTGAACGCTTGATCATCTGCATTTTTACTTCTTTAGGGGTGCTCCGCCTGCGCTCATATCCGTCCCTGCAGAACTGGTGGAGCATATCACCACACTCGGCTTCTTCTAAATGCGTTCGCTCAGTAAGTGCATTCTACTTTCATATAACATGGCTTACTTTCTGCCGCCCTCTCTACGGACTGAGCTATTTCTTGCCAGATCTGCCGCGGAGTTCTTGTGGCTGATCGTGGGTCAGCAGCTATGTCTCGGCATGCCTGAAAAGCGTTATCGGTTTGCGAGAGCTCCTTTTATATGGATGAGAATCTTTTTCCCTGACCTTGTATACAATCCTATTCACCTTATCTTTTTTCAATGGTAAACATAGGTGGGGAGAGTCTCGGGATCTCTAACAAAATCACATGCGTTCACCACCTAGAATCTTACATCATGCGAATGGGTACTATGATTTATGATGACTTTTCTCACGTGAATGCTAGTGTGTGACCTTTCTCTTGCATTCCCTGCAGTGGTATAATACGTTCTCACCACTCCTCTTAGCGTAAGCATGCTCGAAGATATAGCACAGCGAGCTCCCTGAAAATTGTAATTATACATGGTGGTCATTGTAGCGATAAGGCGTTCCTGTTCACGCTCGCACTTACCTGGGATGGAATACCTTATAACGTTTTTGGTACCACTTTTACTCTTCTCTACCACTCCACGGAATAGCTTGGGAGCAGAAACTTCGCGCGCAACTGAACCGAATATGTAAAATTTTTGAATATGGTGGGACATACTTGATAAAGATTGATGGTTCTGCATTCGGAACCAGCTACAAAATACGATCTTTTGTCATCAGCAAAGATTTGGTTGATCTGTGTTATCTCAGATAATCTTGTCCATTGTTGATCATTTCATCAGCGTGGAAGATTCAGATAAGATTGTCAGATTTATTCCCGTGTAATGGAAGTTATGGTTCTCAATGGTAGGAGGGGGCATTGCAGTGCGCAATTCTGCTTCAATGCCATCTTTGTTCAATTTTTCAGGTTTTTTGACGATTCAAATTTCTATCAGATTTATTCCTTCGTTATTTCTTTTGTTTGTTTGTATAATGTGTATGTTCTTATGCTGGGTGACATGAACGTTTATGAAATGTAATATTTACCTAAATCTAGGGAAGGGTGGAAAGTCCTCCGGGAAAACGAGGATTGCTCGCAAACCCGGGCTACCCTCTTTTCTATGGATGAGTCGTAACCGATTATGATGGAAGAACATGCTTTTCGTGGATTTAAACGCGATGAGCGCTCTAGACCGCAATGCCTCCCATTACTGGATGAGGCACCAAGCTGCTTTTTCAAGACTCGATGAGGTGTTACTGATCTTGATTTTTCTAAGTAATTATTTAAAAGGAGCGAATTGTAATGTCGAAGTTTTTTCAGTGATCCACGTATGTCGATGGCATGAGATCGTTCACTGTGTGATACGAAAACGTTTCCAACAGTAAGGTTACTTTTGGTCATCTTGCGCCATTTATCTTTTGTATAAATGAAGAAGGAAAAGCCAGCATGTCAATCCTGTCAAAATGAAGGGTATGTTTCTGCGTTCTACTCAGACACGGAGCGCATCCCTTCATATATTTGCTGGACGATTGTGCAAGGGAGCTATGAAATAAAAATCGCATTTGGTTCGACTGCTCGGCGAATTTGCTCTCTTGCACTTGTAGGCAACACTCAAAAAGACTTTTGACGTCATTTCTCCACCATGCTTACCTAATAACATATGTACGAGCGTTTAAGGTCACCCTGACAAGAAGGTAAGATAGCACGGGGAAAATTTAGTTAAGCTAGCTAAGCCTGGAGAATCATTCAGCGGATATCCTAAACTGTTCTGAGCGCAGCTTTCTAATGTATGTGACCTTTCGTATTTGTGTGTACTTTTTTCCAGAAGAACTCCTCATGGCGCCCACCATAAGAAACAATGATTCAATAATGAGCAGACTATGGACGACTATGGTTAAAAAAACTGCGATTAAATTTTTAATTGGTAGCTGTAAGATTTTTGACTGTTACGACACAAAATAGTTTGCCTTTGTCAGATCTTTATTAAATGCGTGATTTTTCCATACTCGTTGTTCATGTGATGTGTGTGTTGCTTTATTGCTGCTCGTTGATGTTGCTGTTTTGGATTGATTTGAAGTGCTGAAGAAAATGAAATGCAATGTCGTATTATCTGTATTTTCTTTTAAATTTCAAGAGATCACATTCAGGTGTTGCAAGCTTTATTTGATCCGCTTGCAGTGCAGCTGGCTCCGAATACGGAGTGCAGATGAATGACCCACCTGGCAACAGCGGCACTCGTAGTCTCCTTTTCTTCGAAGGTAACAAAGCTGCAATTCATGAGATAAGTCACAGTTATGAAGAGATGTTCCACCTAAGGCGCGCCTGAACTAAACTTTCTTTAGGAAAAAAAACTCGCTGCGTTTTGCTTAGCTTTTTCTTCCTGTTTGCCCCGACGACAGTGTGGTTGTTAGGTTAAGTATCCAGTTCGTTTTAGAACAAGGGTTTATTACCTTTTCATCACTATTGCACTATTACAACCCCAGTAGGGGTGAGATGGGTCAAAAAAATAATTTTCGCTGAAACTTCGGCTATGGGGTTATCGAGGTCCTCATCACGATATGATATTCATTTTTGACGCTGGCGCCATTTGGGGCCAGGGGCGCCACAACTGATTCCCACTAAATTCGCTGTAAACTTCTGTATAGGGGTTATTCGGGGTCCTGATTTGTTGTTAGCGCTATTCGGCGCCTGCTTCCTGCTCGTCTGCGCCCTCGCACTAATTAGATCGCAATAGGACTAAGCCTTTGAGTAGTGTAGGGCTCCAAAGTGGGTAGGCCATTCCCCTGTGGTCTGACACACTCCAACTTTTGCCACACGGTGCGTGGTTTACCCACTCCGGATTTCACTCCGGCGCTGTAGGTGAAGAAAGCTGAAAAGCAGAAAGTATGTGGTAAACAGCACGAATGTGAACAATGAGTGTCATATTGGTGAATTCCTCTGACGTGCCTGCTGGCCTTTGCACATATCCCCTTGGTTTGGATTATAGGCATACAATAGGCGTTCATAGAAAATACCAGTGTGTCTCATATGGCTACATATCATTTTAAAGGCATGCCTCAAGGATCACAGTTGGTGTGGCTTCTTGCCACCACGAATGCGAAGGCTATTGCCGCAGCGAAATAGGCACGCAGTGGAAAAAAAGGACAGAACTTTCGGAAAGGCTAAGTATAATTAGCGCTCACTCACCTTGCCCCCAAGCGGCTCGGCAGAATGAGAGACTAAGCGCGGAGAGGAGAGTATGAGGCGAGGGAGCGTTACAGATGAAGAGAGCGCCAGACAAACAGCCCTGATAAGAGAGGCAAAAGTTTGCAGCTCAGCAGCTTGATTTTGCAAGGCCCGCGCGCTCTTGTCGGTTGGTTTCCGCACGCGGGAAACGCACCATTCATGGTGGTCCTCTATGAGTCTGTGCCATAGATCAAAGGGAAGCCTTCATATAACCGTTGCCTAGGTTGTGCCTCTAACGAGGAACGCAATGGAAAGCTTTCTCCAAGTCTAGAAAGGCAAAGTGCCTCCGTTTCTCATGGTATTCCTCTAGCAGAAGGGGCGGCGTGTTTGGCATCAGTGGTGCCGCAGCCATGAAGCCTTGTTGGTTGATCGGAAAATGGATTGGACTAGTCACGAATACGGCGATCTACAATTCGCTCAAATATTCTCATGCTGTGGGAGAGCAGACGAACTGGACGGCAGCTCGCGCGATCTGCAGGACTCCCTTCCCTTACAAATCGGAATCGTTGCTTTTTGTTGCCAGCTTTCGGCACTGTCTTCTCCTGCAATGGAGGTTGAAAAGGAAAGCTCGTCAGCCACGCTGCGGATCAGAACTGTGACTTCCGCAGATCGGCCGAGAGCAGTCTGGACTAGGGTCAACCGTCACGTTCGAACATTTTCGGGATTTCTGGCGACCCTCCCTCTCGAGGGGGTCCAGTTGCGACCCCCAATACAACCAGCCTTCCCCCACCGCGACCTCTCCCTCTTCTATAGTATTTGATTCTGAGACCAGTTGACACAGCCCAAAACCTACCTAAAACTCCGAAACTCCGCCCACTTTTCCCCAAAAATAGCCGTCGAGCGGGGGGGGGGTATATACAACCTATACAACCACTGAAACTTTTTTCGCACGCACCTATGCCCTGCGCCCCCGATGACCAGCGACCCCCCCCCACCGTTCGAACAGTTCGAACGGACGGTTGTCCCTGGTCGGCCACCCGCTACTTAACCTGCTCTCATTTCTCCAACGACTTTTTTGTTTCCGACTCATCTGCTATCTTATAGGGACAAGACCTTCGGAACGAAGTAACAGAAGAACGTTGACGTTTGAATCAAGTGAGATCCCTCAAAAACAGTCGTCCCATAGCTTCACAGTTCTCTCATGGTCCTTTAGGAGGAGTCCATTTTCGTCACTGATGCAGAAGAAACTGATGATAACCTCGATCTGGCGATGACAGGCCTTGGCTAGCTTGTGAGTATATCCTTCGCTATCGCGCATCTCGAGCTTCGCGCTAACACCGTTGAAAAGAGCTGCTTTAACAACAGCTAGAACCTCGCCTTTTGGTTGTTGTACCAGTCTAGGTATCTTATAGCTGAGAAACACATGGTGAAGTATTGGGTTGTCTCCTAATTCCTGTCTCATTTTATTCAATTT